GGGGGGTGGGGGGGAGAGAGGGGGGGGGGGGATATGCCGACTGAGGAAAAAGTTGGTCTAAAGGGAAATCGACTCTCAGGACAGTAGGAGGGTGAACGAGCATGCCGATGGGAGTCAGCAAAGATCATGGAATTCTGGGGCCGAAGTTATGAGTTCGGCTTCAAGAGCCAGGCACAGGAAAGGGAACACGACGTGGTGTGGGATGAAAGGGACGGCGGACGTATTTTAAACAAGGGCGGAGCCGAGGGGAATAGACAAAGGAGCACGATAATCGAGGTGGTAAAGACAATCAATGAGATCTAAAAAGAGGGAACTGGTCTGGCAGTGTGAAGAATGAGACTCCATTGTTTCAGTAACAAAGTACACTTCAGCAATTCAACCCGTGAAGAAATGGATTAAGATAGCCAGTTTATGAGCATCACTCGTCCCTTCGGTAGGATAGAGATGCCCCAACCATTTCCTGATTTGCTTGCTTTTCGAGATCCCCAGTAAAAAAATTTTCTAAGGAAGAATGGAGTAGGCCTCAAATCACCCCTCAAGCCCATTAATTAAGTCAAACAAAAAGGCACTGAGAACAACCGATCAGTCCAATTTTGCTCCTCAAGTGATCGCAGTTCTTCTTCTGATTACAATGGAAACCGTCTGGATTACTTGGATTCCTGCAGGTTGCAACAATAATTAGAATCTTCGGAAAAAGATGTATTTGACGAACATGATAAGGAAATTGTGTAGAAAACTGGGAACTTTGAATACGCTGATGGATTGGAGCTGCTTTAGAAAAGTCCCCTAACCCTCGATGAAAACCTTGAGGTATTTTTAGAGTATCAGACGGAGAGCCAATTACGAAAGTGTGAAATTTGGGTAACTAATTACTTCAAAAAAAGATAAAGGTTACTGCGCTGCTGAGCCCAACTTCCTAAGCCCATAATGTGATCATTTTTCTGCGGAAAAACTTGTTATATAGATATCCTAGCTTGGGGTCTCACTCACGGAGCAGAGCACTTGGATACTGCCAGCGACTGACGAAATGGAAAAAGACAGTTACTAAACGAAAACTCCGTTTTCTTTCTCTAACAACCAGCAACGGGCTGTTTCGCGTCGCTTCCATGACAGATGGCTGCTCTTAAAAAAAGTCTCATGTAGACATAAGCTCATTACAAATCGTCTTCCTCTGCGAACCGTTTTAGCACTCAGAAAAATAGGAGTTAACTAAAAAATAAAATCGACACTCAGTGAGGAGAGAATTTGGAGAATGGCTAGCATCATTTATGAGTGTTATATCGTCTTCATGAATGTCCCTTTCGAACTAATAACTCCTTTTTGTTCAGGAGGCAATGACAACAGCCTTTGGTCATGCAGAAGGTCAAGGTGGTGAGGTTCTTCGAAGGTTTTTTCACCCCAATAAGCCTTCCCGACGTAGTTAAAGATCTTCGAACCACTCAATCTTCGAGAGCAGGTATGACAGCCAATGCGATGACCTTGCACCGGCTTAAATGGTACGACCAAGGTTAAGATGGTTTTTTTTTTCTGATGGGACGGCAGCATTCAAGGTCTTTCACTGGTCTGTGGATCTTGCTAAGACCGTCGAGAACGCTGATAGTAGGGAGACCTCCACCTTGACAGTGCGCCATGACTGTTGAGAAGTGCAGGATTTTCATTTCCTTCAGGACGTCAAGGAGTGCGCTGCTCCTAGAACGATGTACCTTCACACACGGCTCAAAGACAATCCTTAGCAGATCTATATAGAACCTTCCCATTTCCATTGTAAAGAGACTAGACTACAGCCACAGGTAAGCAGATAAGTCAACACTGCAAGCCTTTTTGCCGGTGTAACATTTGTGTACCTAAAAGGGAATCCAAGAAGCAAGAAACACAGTCCCTCAGCTCACGACGTGAAATTTGACTCCCAGCACGACCAACCCATTCCATTCCGACTTATTCGATTGCCTATTTGGCCATTCCTACACCATAGTTGACAATCCGTCTTCGATCCATTCCCACAACATTTATTTTCCTTCCTTAGCATTCTTCCTCAACTCAATTCCTACCCATACCCGAAAGTACCCGGAGTACCAGCCTGAATGGCATCTATACGGACGGTCTCCGCTTTGGACGCTCGGTTACATTCTTCCTAAACAAAAGCAAATGAAAAATTACTGCTTGCAAAAATTTGACCGCTTGCCCATGCTCACTCGAAGCTGAATACAAATAAATAAACAATAGCAAACGTATTTGAATGCAAAACTTGAAGTACTTCAAGGACCATTCTTGAAGTCGACTGACCACTTACCCATAAGAAGATCTCTAATTAAAAATTTCTACTTGAAAAGGGATCCTAATGAGCACTGCAAAGAATATGGTAGAATACAGGGCAAAATGCCTGTGACAAGCATGATGGACAGGGAGACAGCATGAACAAAGAACAGAATTCAGTATGCAAATGCGTTTAGCAAGTTCGCTCTTCACTGGAAGAACATTACTCACTGAGAAAACCATGGAACTCCTTAATAAAACTACTCCGTGTGACGATGAATAGGAGCAGGGAATAGAGCGTGGACAAAAAACTGCGTCCGCACCGATGGGAGCACTATGGGCGACTGAATGGAGGGCGAGTGTAGCAAGTCAATAAATGCGGTGTCCCGCACTCGTTGTGATCTATGAACTTCACCCTCGTTGTCCTACAAAACTTCGACATTGATATGAATTCCCATAGATTACTGTGCTGAAGAGGTGGGACATTTACCAGAGGTTTACATTCCATTAGATCAGCTTTTTAAAGTGTTCACGTTGCTTAGGACCCAAGAAGCATCCTTCAAATCAACAAATCTCTGATTCAATCCCTTCTCCCAATTTCTGTTCTCTCTTCCTCTAGTTTCCACTACACCTTTAACCGTTTTAATTATAGTTTAGAAGTGCAACTGTGACTTATTGTGAGTATAACCGGGTATTCGCTGTACGATCTATCACCTCGTAGAGAGCGTGAGCGCGAATCTGATGTTTGATCATTGAGATCAGAAATAGGTTCAGGAACTTTGGTCTACCGCGAAGTTTTAGATACCGAAACACCAGTAGTCACCGACTGATCCTGGCTGGCAGATAGCTGTAGCAAGCTGATCAAAGAATCAGAAGAATTAAAGTTGGAAAAGAGATCCATGAGAAATAAATAGTGCACCCTAGAGCAAAAAAAGAGTTACTAGGCAGTCGATGTTTCGCAGATGGAGGTGCCATGAAGAAGGTAGAATAGCTTATGAATCCAGGCTAGTAAAATGAAGAACGATTACGAAAGAGAATCTTAGTGATATGGATTCACATTAGCTGTTCCGTCATATCCTTAGGAACTTGATGCCTCTCAGGTATGCCGTGCACATGAGTTCAATCTAGAAATCGCTGGGTCACCCCCAAATAGAGAGAAATAAATAAGTAGATAATAACAAATAATAAATTCATATAGAGTCACCTGACTAGAAATATGTCATAAGTAATTAAACGAACAGTTGTTTTCTTGTTCTGTCATTCACTACAAAGCTAATGTATCCAAAACAGTGGTCACGGCCAATACCGAGGATCATTGAGGGAAAGCAGCACACGGAACATATCACTATCACTATAACATGGAAGCAGCATACAGCTGTAGAAATGCTGTCTGACCACACACTAACTAACCGACCGATAGTCTGTACTTTCCCAATTTCTAAGGACTTCTGATGACAACCATGAATGTATGTGGCTGCGCCCACGAAATCGACTTCCTTCAGAAATTGCAAGGGCGTTTGGGTGTACGTATCTTATACACAATAACCTGTGGGAGCCAGCTCCTGATGCTTCGCGCAAGTTAGTGCTTTTATGTGTTGGAAAGAGTCTGTCGTACTAAATGACCGGTCCGAAGTGATGAGAAGTTGGCTTGCCTGAGGGCGATCCTTGGACCATGCATGCGACAGTGCGCCACTCGGCACTATACCAGCTCACCTGAGCTCTGATTCCGAGAAAGCTCAGTAAATAAAAAAGAAATTTCCTATAAAGGGCTCAGTAGTTAACTATAGACAAACCAGGAACCTAATCATATATGGGATGTACGATAAGTCTTGTAGCAGAGTTTTTCTGAACTCAGTGATGAAATTCTTTCATCAAACTTTGTAACACAATAGGAAACACATTGTAAAAATTGGTTCAGCCTTAATAGAGAACACAGCAGAGATAGGACTGGCAACTCGGCATGATCGGTACCTACTTATAGAGCGCTCATGGACGGCAGTTGCTCCGAATTGTCATCATACTCCGCCCTTTCGATGTGTCATTGAACATACTGCGCCCAAGGTCATTGTTCGATCATAGAGAACTTTTAAAATATTGTACTGTTCATGCTAAGTTATCATACTCTCCATCTAACTGCTAATTATAACAAATTATACGCCTCCCGGTATCTTTTGATCGAAAACATGTTGACTAAAAACGATATTTATTGGGCACGATAAAAAAACAGAGCTTTACTGAAGTTTACAAATTAGCAATTGCGGCGCCTCGAGGTCAATGATCGTTAGACAGATTGAGATTCAGGAGCTAACTACTGTGAAACTAGTCCTAGCACTTTAGCTGGTCTCAATGGACTACCCTCAAAGGGACAATTCACGATAATTTTGCGGGATTAAGTTTTAGACGATCAATGAATCTGATAGCCCAGAGATATGAAAAAGTGGCAAAGAAAACGTGGAAATCGCCGTGTTTAGAGAAGTGTAAGACTTTAGAAAAAAAGTAACATTTTGGATTGTCGAGAATGTGACGGCAGAAGTTGCACGGAAGGGGCATTTGGACGTGCTGTTAAATGCACACGCCAGTTTCATAGTCCGCCGGCGTACCGGCGTGCCACCCGAGGTAGTGCTAGGGGGGGGGGGAGGAGGGAGGCGGACGGTCGGTCGACGCGGTCGCGTCGCGTCGCGCCCAAGCTCCTTCGAAGGGCTGAAAACAAAGAAAAACAGGACCAAAAACCATTTGTGCAAGCCCCTGTCTGTTTGAATTTGATCTCGTTTTTCGTTGTTTTCAGCCCTGCGAAGGGGCTTGGGCGCGACGCGACCGCAACGACTGACCGTCTGCCTCCATCCTCCCCCTAGCACTACCTCGGCTGGCATGCCGGCACGCCGACGCCCCTTCGGACTATGAAAGCAGCCATTGCTTGCAGCTGATTCTAGTAAGCTGCTTGCGTACAAAATGTCTGCCTTGGTGCAAATGGTGCAACTTCTACTGCTTTTACAACTTTTGAGAACTCTTGTGCCTTTTATGTGTACGTCGGCTAAGCCGGTTCTAGAGTCAGTATTTCTCCCTATCCCTCAGACTATCTTTGAGGGTCACAGGTTCATAAAAGGAAGAAATCTTAAACATCGTTTTCATCGTGAACTGTGCCGTCAAGTAGTATACGGAAGATGGACTTTAGTTCTAATTGGGAGATTTCCTTCACTCATTCGGCTGTGAAAATCTCTTGCATGATTATGTAAGCACTATTAACGATTGTGCCAATGTAATGAGGTTTCAGATACAAAGAAACGATGCCAGACTTGACAGAGCTGGAATCGTTTCTTCGTATCTGAAACATCATTACAATGGCGCATCCTAAAAAAGCAAGACAACACTGCAAAGTACGAAAATCAAAATAGCAGTCGTAGGAAAAACTGTTATAATGGTGAGAACACACATTAAATATGAGTGTGCGAAAGTTCCGACTCATCGCAGTAAACTTATCAACCAGGAATAGCTTCTCACACTTTTCCGTCGTCTTGTTTGGTTTTTTTTTGGCGTCAGACATCTCTGGATTGTGCAGGTCATCGCAAGGACATGATGTCAACCATGTATTACTACGACTTCTGCCAAAGCCCCTTCGGTGGCCTGAGCGCAATCCCATCTTTCCTAAATCCTTCATCTTTTACTTGAGGGTCTTCCGTATTCAGCCATGCCTTCATCGACGTCACCATTGTCTCATGTCCCTACACTTCTCACATCACTTGGATGTTTTGTACCTGTTTGTCTTGTGTTGCGCTTCAACGCTTTTTCCACTCATCCTCCGCGAATGCGAGCAGTACCTCCACGTTTCGAAATTAGATATTGCACGAAGATGTCTAGATATGTTCCTGATGAAAGTGTGTACTTTCAGGCATATTTCAGTGTGTCATGATCTTGCTAATTTCACTTTGACTATATGTCTTTAATGCACAATTTTAAGCGAAGTTCCCATTTCCAAGAGGGTATTAGTTCAGCCCGGTGTAACGGTGAGGGCTTAGCAGTTTGAGAGAATTACGGAAGGTCTCCCTACGAGCAACTGAGTGAATTTGCGGAGAGATGTATTTAGAACTGAAGTTCTCCATCCAGTAGCAGTATTGGATGATGACATGGCACATGGCGCTGGTCTGAACGCACCATAGCCGTGTTAATTGCACCTGACTCACACTCGTGTTCAGAGAATGAAAACAGTGAATTGAAATATGACAGATGCTCGGAAAATGAGGGTAACAGAGGAAACATGACAGGGTTTATTTGATGGCTCTGGCAGTTCTTTGCTGGATAAGAAGCAGAACCAAAATAGCGATAATAAATCGTTTTTCTCAGCAAACTTTGAAATTCGAGCTTGATTTTTATGGTGTGCTGCTTTCAGGGAACTGTATCAGTAAACATATAGGTCTGGAATAGTTAAGAAGCTGAGCTCATGTGAGTCTTTGCCATGTAAATTACGGTCATCTGTCAGGAAAACCGTAGAACTATACAATATAATAAAATTAAAATGTAAGATTTTGTACGAGAACGAAACTGCTACTAGTGATTGCACATGGCATGTAACAGTTGCTTCTGGCTGAGATTTGCTTCCCCATGCTTCCAGAAACTTTCAAGCCATGGAGAGAGCTCTCAAAACAATGTCCTCTAACGGAAAAAATGAAAATAGTGAGTAGTACCGAGAAAAAGGTGGTACGTGGAAAAAAATCGAGTCAAGGGGAAAAAGCATAAGCATAAAAGTCAACTACTGCTCGCTGGGAATGGCTCGAATTCAAAGTCTGGCGAAGATTGTCGGGCGGTCGGCCTGCAATTTTGGAATGACCTGTTTGTTAGCAATACTAGTCCGTATGTAGTAAAAAGAGGAATGTGTTTAGTTTGTCGAGCGGTGCACAGCAACACAGCATCGGAAAGAATGGCGCTACGAAAAAGTAAACTCATGCAGAGATACTCTCCACATGCAGCGGCCCTCACCATTGATCGATCCGCTATTATGAAAGTTTTTTTGAAAGTGGTCCGTCTGCAAGCAAATCACTCAGCTCACTTCAAATGTTATAAGGTAAGATTGTATTGTGTTTTGTGAAAATAAATGTATTTTTAGAGAGATATGTACGTTTTGACACAAGCTCTCAAATGATCTACAACAATTTATTCTCAACTACTCAGCTTCGATCTCTTTCTTATTCATCGATCTCGACTGAGCATCCAGAATGAATTTTGAATTTTCTTGATGAGACCGAGGCTGTTCTTTTTGAAATGTAGAGCCGCAACTGAGCAGTACTTTGCGGAATTAGGTCTTTTCCTTTACGAAGTCCATTTGACCCTCCATTATACTATAAAAGTGGAGCATTCTCGTTCTGTCGAATTGCGAGGCCATCTTGGTAGTTGTTGAGGAAGTATTGAAAAGCGAATATATCATAAAAAATATAATGTCTCGACGTTGATCAAGCTCGTTTGTGGTATGGTCCCCGCATTTGACTTCCATTCAGAGCGGCGTTTTGAATGCTTGTGGTGTTTTAGTGACATGACATGCAATGGCCAGCCAATGTAAAGTCGATGCTTCTATCTTTTCAGGCGGAGCCACTTGGTATTACTACACCTTTGTATTCAGGTAACATTATATTGTCAGAATTCGATAAAAAATAGCGAGGGCTTCATAGCGCTTCCATAAAGATTTATCCGTTTTATAGGGGTTTAAGCTTTATGCAGCAAATGGCAGAAAGTAATTATAGATTGAACAATGCAAAAATTCTATTTGTGTTTGGAAACAAGCGAATTATACTGCTCTGCTTATTAGCTATACACAATGTGTACGAATGTAGTACTGTGATAGAATTACTATGAACAATTTGACAATGAAAACTTTTCAAAAAGCAATTAAGTTTTCAAAAAATCAAAAGAATTCCCAGCTACAGTTGCGTCTTCTGCCCAAGGCGACAGCTGCTCAGTAGTTGGTGCAGAGTTGGTACTGTCCATTCAAAAAGTGCTAACAGTACTGAACTTCTATAGAAGGCTTGGTAGAATGGTAATGATGTGTAGAAAAGTTTTCAAGATTTCCTAATTACTTTAAAATAGAGTTACCGCTGATCGTTAGTTATCAAAAACGGATTCTCTTTACTATTCAAAAAATCACTCAGAAGATGGTATCGGGGCGGTTCTCGATATATTTCTTCAGTTCTGGAATGGAACGTATCTTCTCTACATGTTCTTTCACCTGAAAGAAGTATCTGGCTCAGTATATTTCTGAAAAATCAACTTCTGTTTTTTTCAATCCTGTTCGGCCACGTGAGTACGTTTTAGGATTACTATATTCAGGTACTATAGTACCGTAATCATTACCACTGGGAAGCCGTCATAGAGATTTGGAAACTTTTTATTCCAAGTGGCTGTCTCCGCTAAGTACAGATCAGCCCACGTCAACGAGTCTCCAACAAGGTATCCTGAAAATACAGAAAAGCTTTTAAAAACGTATAGTTTGCCCTAGTCAGTTCATTGATGGTACAAATTGTTTCCATGAAAAACATCACAGTTCAAACATTTCTTATTTGTAATAGCCATTAGTAACTAACTTTTTCCACTGTCCTCTACGTAGCTCATACAGTAGGCGTGGCTTTTAAAAGTGATATATCAGATTGGGCCATTGGAGTAAAGCTCTGGTCCATAACCCCACACAAGCGCCGGCCCGGAGAGTTAGCTACATTGCGTTACATTATTTTTGCAAAATCTCTTTCAACCGAAAAGGAGTTGAGTGAAAGGACAAGTTTCACCTGGGCAACATCTGAAAACAGCTGGGGTTCAGGAAAAAGATGTGATTTGAAAGTTTAGTAAAGATAAATCCGCCTATCCCCCTTCGATAATGCTCTTGTTCGATCATTGTTCAATTTCTATTACTGAAGTGCTTATCCCGTTCTGGGGCAAGGCCAAATGTAAAGAGGAATAATTTTCCCTCTGAGATTCGAGTCGTTCCCAATATGTGAAGTGAAGCAGCCGTTTTCACAAAACCTCACTTTTAGCTTCAAAAGCATCTTATACATTTCTGTGTGACTGTGTGAACAGCAATAAAAACCGGGTTGTGGCATCTCATTGCACGCAGACAAGACGCTCACCTAACGGATTGTTTTTGAGAATATTTGTCATGAATGTAAATCGTTTTTCATGGGCTGGGACAATGTTCCTCTCCAAGGCAGCCTGGAACAATGTCTTAGTCACTTGCCTGAAGCAAGTCAGTCATCACTCGACCCACCAAATCGCCTTTCTCAAATCCTAGCAACGTCCTGATATAAGGTCGAATTTCGTTGTAGAAGAAATCCTTGAATTGGTCACCAATGGAATCGACCCAAGCTTCTTCCCATGCGTTTTTACCAGCGTAACCTCAAACGGATATAAGATTAAAAATATTCTTTCTGGTCCCTCGAAAGATTTATAGTCCTACAAAATTGTTTGGCCAAATAGCGAACAATGGCGAATGACTGACAGAGCTGCTTTCCATCAATGTCCAGCACCGGAAGTTGACCAAACGGCATATCTGTATGGTTTAAATACTCAATAGTCGTGATGAAGCGTACGACCTTGGTTGGTGCAAGCAAGGCAAGGATCAGCACGGATAATAACTTACTACTAGATACTATAACATCAGCAGAGCAGAGCGGAAGCGATAACGCTTTCGTAATAAATCGCAACATTGATGATTCGATGGATTCCCACCCTTTGCTTTAAAACATTTCTTAAATTGGCAATGCCACTAACCTTCCTTGAGCTTCGGCCAGTCGTCAAACGTAACCCGCACGTCTTCAAAATCTTCTCCTGCCACGACGAACAACTTGAAATGGATTTTCTACAGGACTAGGAAACTTTCTAATGTTCTTATGAAGTTTGTTTGGCAAAAACTATCTCGGAAAGTTACCTGACGAATAANCCCGTTTCAGCAGGCCCACGTCCATCAAAGTACGTCAACTTGTAGTTAATCATTATGAAATGAAGGGAGTTTATAAGTTGCTAATAAATGTGCTTTGGGGAGGCATTATTTGCAGCAGCAACGTTATTCAAACTCACATCGGAGTCAGACGATGCTCAGCTTGAGTGAAAACACGTTTTTGAAAAGAAGAAAAAGTTCTTAAAACTCCACTTTTCTACCAGACCCCTGTGATCCCTAGGAGGCAAGAAATATACCCATGAGGATGAACTTGCTTCTATGATGTTCTTGAAGTCCAATGAAGGCTAAGACGCTTCGACTGGTAGGGTCTGATAACATGTAACACATGCAGGTTTCAGTAATCGAATCCATAGGAATCAAATTCTGTACCGAAACCCATCCAGGCTGGCCGAATCATCAAGATCATTGGCACCACTTAATTATTGATAGGACAATTCGAGGAGTTAAAATGGGACTCGTGGATCAGTCACACCCTAAATTTACTCGTTAAAATACCATGCGTCGCAGTTGAACGAGAGGATACTTTCCAAAATAGGTTCGGCCAATTCTTTATTCAAAATCTCCGCAGCCTCGGTGGTTTTTCTTTGTCAAGCGCTCTCTTTGCCTTTTTGTACGTCGTTCCCATCTACTGTAAGTCATCTACATCTGCAGAGCGAGGGATGAGCTAATCAAGCTCAGCGACTGAGCCTTGATATGACGAACACCTTACTGTTTTAATCTTCAATGACTTAAATCAGTTCATCTTCTAGTAGTTCACTTGAGGCGTTGAAAAGCCTAACCGCTGAATTCTGAGAGCTATTCACTCCTAGGCCAACTATGACCTTTAACCCATTGGCGACCACGCCTTTTACATTGTCCTCACATTAGCTTTCAACTTCTCTTATAACTGTAACTAGAAATGATTGATCACTGGACCACGGTGCCTCAAGATTCTCTAGAAGGTTGTGAGCTAAGCTGATACTTGAAAACTTGAAAAAAATTATAAGAACACTTGATAAATAACATCAATACTACAGGGGCACATATGGTGTGGCCCGCAAGTGGGCCACGGGGTCGTCAATGGGTTAAATCAAGCTGGAGATGTTCTTTGTAACTTGTGTTGTTCCAAGCGATGAAGGGACCAGACAAACCAGAAACGATGTGAGCAGAAGTCAAACAGCAGTCGAAGTCGTGGCAATCAACGCGATCAACGAAAAACTTGTAGAAGTATGATGATCGCTATGAACAGCGCACTCAATGTTTGTCATCCTTGTCGGGCGTCAAGGTTTCACAATGGAACACACCTAGTTGATGGACGGGCTGAACTATGACCGATAGCGATGTCGGCAAGGTTACTGCGCGACAATCCCTGCCATTTCCATTAGGGAACAGTTGATTCCACAAAAAGCATCCGAGTCATTAATGGGAGTTTTTGTGTTGTGTCCTCAGTTTTCCCGCCCTGAAGGAGGTAACGAGTCTTATCGTGTCAATAGTAAACAGTAATAAACCTATGAAAAGGATAAATTTCTCTGTCGTAGACCACCCCCAAGGAAGATGGACGAAGACGACGGACCATTCTTGAAGAATCTTCGAGAAGCGCCCACGTTTGACTTCCACCACAAATCGTCGTGGCGTTTTGAGCTTCGTTCGTTTGTAGCT